AATAACGTTCAGGTGAATGATCAACCAAATATGTTTAGTAGTTTGGGTACCGGCGTTCCATTGGAAAGAGGCTTCTGGAAGTAAGTGTTTTCACGTCTACAAACCGTAAGCGTTAAAGCGTTTCCATTGGGTTTCATAGTCTAGGTCCTGCTTTTTCTGACTTAGCCGTGACCACGGCGTTCTATGCAGGAACACATATTTTAGCACCATCGGTCCTGCCTTCAACGTTCACCTGTACGAATGCGTTGAAGAAGGTGTTGAAATATATATATGTGTGTGTGTATATATATATATGGAACATGTCACGTCATGGGATTTGGGTTGAGATAGAAAGATGTTACATGCAATGTTACGTCATGGAATTTGTGTTGACAAACACACATAAAACATGTAACATCATGGGATTTGGGTTGAGATAGGGTGGTTCACACTGGCGGTGTCGACAGGTTTTGGACTATACTGAAGCAAGGAATACCTGATAGTCTGGCCAGCTTGCAAAATGGCAAGCCTAACCGCCTCGGTCATATGTCGTAAGTACCCATTGGAGATGGGAAATGAATTCGGATGACCTTTTGGCCAAAACTGGCAAAGCTTTGAAGAACCTCTGACCAAACCGCGTACCCAAAAAGATGAAAATGAAAGGGCATCATTTTGCAACACAAAACCACAGAAAGGTTGAAATTTTCAGTTCTGAAGGGCTCATTTTGGGACCTCATTTTGAAGCATGAAAACAAAATGGCGCTGTGACGCCGTGATGTTTTTTCTATTTTGTGGACCGGTACTCGGTCCGCCGGGATGTTTACATCTAGAGTGCATATGAATGAATAGTAGTTACAAACCAACTTGTAGCTGGTGCTTTCACGAGTCATTTCTATGGTCTGTATTGATTTATGAGGGAACTCTTTGCAAAAGCAGTCAATCACCTCCAGCCTAGAAACTGATTTGGCTCCGGCAAACCCTTTCAGTTTGCCCGGGCGCCCATGCCATGCTGTGCCATGCTGTGCCATGCTGTGCCCTGAGCCCAATGATGGGCTGCTGGCGAAAAAATCTGGGGCTTTCTCGACAATTTGAACAAGGCATCAGCATAGATCTGGGTGCTGATGAATTCAAGCAACTTTCATGACCTTGAGAAGTGATTGGTTCTGGAAATTCGTCGAAATTCTAGGAATCCTAGAGAATCGACAAAACCCAACTTAAACTATCTTAAACTTACACCAATAGCACGCTTTCGACCCGAAGAAACTACCATCCATATCCATCATGGGGGTGAAAAAGTATCCGCTTGCCTTCGCAGCTGTAAGAAACTCCCAATCATACACTCGAGAAGTTGGTGCCTTTGTGCACCCTTCAATCTGCGATCGCAGTTTGACTCCACCACCAAATAAGGAGATCATCCACCATGGGGGCCATGGGGCTGGTACATATACCCATCCACCCCAGAACAGGATGGTATAGTAGTATAGGATCCCATGTTGGTATAGTGATCGAGCTATAAGTTTCGGGGTTGGTCATGGTTTATCCCAAAATTGCTTGCTGGGAAAAAGTGAAACCGGAAAGCATGTAAATCCATGTAAATCCCATGTTTTCTTTCTGGGAAAAGCAGGGTGTCCACAATCGCCCCACATAACTTGATAGCTTTGCTATGGCGTACATGCTTATCATATGTTGTCATAATCATTCATAATCCCTAATGAGGTAGTAGAACTCCCAAGAAATTAACCAATCATAACCTATCAACCCAGGTATTTTTACGGATCTACTGGGCTCTCCAGTTTTTTCATCACAAACCGGGGAAAAAAACGGCAACCAGGGCTACGGCTAGCAGTTACCAAGTCGAACTCTCACGCAACGAGGTAGGAAGCTGAGTGGATTCCCGACTTGCGAGTTCGCGCAGAATGGAAAACAATCGAGGCTGCATCGAGCGTGTCATCTCAATTCCATAGCTGCAATGGTTTGTTTGAATGGAAAACACGGGCATTTTGTCACCCCAGCCGGCACAGTAGCAGTAAAAAACTGGACTTTGCAGTTTGGTAATCAATGAGCCAACAGCTACAATCCAGTTTTTTCCAGGGCCATGGAACCATGGAACCCAAGTTTCATCCGGAATCTGCAAAAAGAAACATCTACTGACTGTTCTCAGACACCCGGCTGGAGCAAACCCAACAAACCGCAGCAACCATCGCCACTGGCCGCACCTAGCAGACCTGTTTGTCTGTCTCCAGCGTCACAGTGGCAGTCTTGCCTGGCCGGGAACAGAATGGACTCCACGGGTGCAGCCCATGCTGGGAAAGAAACTCAGCCTAGCTTTCGGCGGACAAATCACGAAAACAAGTTTTCATGATGTTCGATACCAAAAACAAAAAACGCGCGAACTTCACCAAAATGGCTGAACAAAGGGCTTTCCTATCCAACCTACATGCCATAAATTTTAGGTCTCAAAACCTCACCTTTCCAGGTCGTTTTTCAGATGTCCATCCATGTCCATCCCATCTGCCGTCCATTGATAGAACCACCTCACTAACCAACTGAATAGAGTAATACGGGTAAAATAGATTAGTATATGGGGGGTTTCCATCAATGGGGGTACCCCTTAAAATAGATGGTTTATAGTAGTTTATAGTGGAAAATCCATCTATAAATGGATGATTTGGGGGTAGCCCTATTTTAGGAAACCATAAATGATTCAATTAGTAGATATGAATAACAAATGTATTCACAACTTTCCAAAATCAACTCAAAACACACTGTGGATGGAAGAAAACGTGCACCAGTTTGTAGATGGTTTATCCAGCAGTGGTGATCCAATAATCTACAGTGTTTCATAGTTGCCTTTCATAGTTTCCAACTGGGTGCAGGATTTCTTATTAACCATCCATAGTATCATGATTGTCTATCTATATATCGTTGGTATCTATAATCGATATCTATCTATTAAATCTATATAGTCTATGAGTATATGATAGTAAGACTCTATATATACATATACATGTCTATAGTATATTATACGCGTCTGTTTTTTTTTCTTGTAGTAGAATATCCTTTGTCGATCCATATGTCGACATTTTATCCTTTCTTTTCTAGTCTCATTATTCCAATAGCTACTATACGGTCTATAGATATCTTGGCCATCACCCATCCCCATGCCGCCACGGCACCGTTCAAGACGTCCTTCACGCCCAGCTCTGTGAAGATCTGCTCGTACTGCAGCGCCGCGTTGCTCCAGGTGAACTCGGCAGCTGCCGCCATGGCGGCCTGCTTCATCTTCACCACCTGTTCGTCACAGCTAACTGCAGACTTCTTTTTTTTATCACCTACAATAACTTAGAGTATCTGATATATAACATATGTATCATATATATATATATATATGTACCTGTATATCATACATAAAAAAAAGATGTACGCATATATGATATGTGTATAATACCGACTCTTGGCATCTTCAGCATTCTACGGGCTCTTGGCATCGAAACGTCCGGGACCTTGGCCGGTTCCTGGGTGAAGAGTTTGGCGGCTCGCTTCAGGGCCTCCGAGATGGCGCTCACGGACTCCTGGAAGCGCGGCGTTTTCAGCGCGCGCGTTTTGCCAGCGAAGTAAGAAAACCATAGCCACATAGCTATGGAAAATCACCATTTTTAATGGGAAAATCAACTATTAATGGCCATTTTTAATAGCTATGTTAAATTACCAGAGGGTATAACAACCAAAACTAGGAATCTGTTCGCAACACAACTGAGGTTTTAACGATCAAACAACAGTTGGGTTTTTTCGAGCATGGCAGAGTTCAGCCGGGAGAAGCATCGTTCGCTCGTCCTCCTCAATGACGGCCTCCACGGTCATCTCCTTCTCTGTCCAGAGACCGTTGACGCCGTCCTGGACTTCAGATCTCACATTGACATCCCAGTGGCTATCATTCAGGTGGTGTTTACCGGGTTTACCGTTAAAAAAAAGGGATTTCACTATTGAACATGGCCATTTTTTTTCGTTGTGCTGAGCACTTCCTTGACATTTAGGGCTGCCGAAACGCTGCCGTATTTAAGGGATGGAACAGTCGGAAACCAGCCATGTTTTGGGGATGTTATGGAAACATCATCATCATCACACCATTTTTTATATGGTGGGGATATGATAGGAACAACCCCATGTTCAATAGTGGTTTCAAACCAACCGTGGTACGGGATATATTTTGAAACAAAATCTACAACCAACAATACGATAGATGGACATGTCATGGCATGTCCCAGTTTATGGCAGGTTTCTGTTGGGGAAATGCGGGTAGAAGCCATCAATTTTTTTTTAGCACAGCCCCATTTTTAGCGATGAACCAATGCTAGAGAACAAATCTGGGAAAATTATAATATTTCACTAACCTGAATTAAAGCCATTTGGGGATGATTCCCCTTACTAACTATGATTATAGTGAGGTCGCAGTGAGGTCGTTATAATTTACCCAGACAAATCATGATGTTTGAAGCTAATAACCAGATGAGAGTCGATAAACGGGGGTTGGTAAATGTCCTAATTTTTCACATCACCCAAATATTGGGGGTATAATCTTCAAGAGATATTTGAAAGTGATGTGAAACAAATCCCTAAGCCATAGGACATTTACCAAGCCCTGATAAAGAATAAGGAAGGAACAAGGAAAGGAAGGGACTCCCAATTAATCTGTTGGTCATGGTTTTTCCAAATGGCAGGTTGATACTGAGACCATCCAAAACCTTCTTCAGCTTCTTCAGCCTTGCCCGGATTGCACATTCTGACCCTAAACCACCACTTGAAGCACTTCATCTCCTTCCAAAAAAACATTACATAACCATGTTAAACCACCATCTTAACCATTGTTGAAAGTGGTAAGATGTTGAAATCCACATCTTAACCATGTTAAACCATGTTAAAGTGCTACATTTTCCCATATTTTCCCCTATTTTCCATCCATCAACCGATGCTTTGGAGCTCCATTTCCCCCACCTGGGATCCCGGCCTCCACGGTGTCTTTCAAGCCACCGGTGGGCGCCACAATGGGCAGCGTTCCCAGGCGCATGGCCTCCATCTGCACCAGGCCGCAAGGCTCCCACCTGAGCCGTTTTTTTCTGAGTTTTTTGGGAGATGCAAATGGTGGAGATTTTTGATGATATAATGATATAAATAGACATATATATATATACACATTGTATATAGATATTTTTATATCTGTAAACATGTGGGATAATATATGATTATATATACATATGTCTATATATATATATGATTCTCTGTATGACATGTATATACATATATATATAATCTATATATGTTTCTATATGCGATCTATTTGAGATTTATATCTATATCTAAATACTATATATATACATACATACGTATATGTATATATATATATTATATATATATTTATATAGTCATCCTGGGGCAGATAGAATGTAGTGGTTTACATCTAAATAATGGTCATGATATATCTATAGTATCTATACTTTGTATCTAGAATCTACATCTATCTATCCCTTTTGTAAATAATATAGCTGTTTCTCAAAACTGGGTACCACAAAACCATTGGTTTGCCCATTAAAGATGACAATGTTACTAGGACGATTTTGGGGTGCCCCCAAGTTGGAGACACACCCATATATTGTAGTCTATAGTTGGTATCATGATATATCTATAATTTTCCGTATTATATATATATGATAGTATGAATGTATTATAGATCTACATAGCAGTCAACAAAGGTGGATGGGGTTGTCATACACAACTGCTAAATGAATATGATCATCTTTTGATGTTTCATGTGGAGCCAACTCCACCTGGAAGGCAACAGGGTGAAGTCGCATCCCGCCAGCAGGGCGTAACGCTCAGGACCCATCCAACCGGCATAGAAGAACTTCTCGGGGAACTTCTTCTCAACTGCCTGGAGGTGCCATGGGTACAGTAGGGGAACCTCCATAGCTTCGGATATGAGGCCCCTATATCTATGGATATTCTATGGTTTATGGTGGATCAATATGGCTGAATTCTGTGGTTTATGGTGGATATAACATGATATAACTATAATATCTGCTTAACTATGGCTGAGGATGATTATGAATTATTATGGACATACAACTATTATGAATTATTATGGATTATGGTTTATGATGAATTATATCATTATCTGGTTGGTGGTGCAATAACCATCTTGAAAAATGATGGAGCTTCGTCAATGGGTTTCGGATGACATCCCATATATGACATGGAAAATAATCCAAATGTTTTAAACCACCAACCAGATGGTATACATTGGTATGGGTATGGGTCAAAATTAGGTACCCCAATAATTGGATGGTTAATACTAAACTAGACTAAGAAAAAAGTGGTCCCCTAGGTCTTCCATTTTGACCCACATCCATATGGTAATGTATCTTGCGTATGGCTGGGACTTCACCCCCAAGTACCGTTGTTTGGGGATCTGAAGTTCACTGTCCGGTGACCTCCAAAAAGTTGTTACGTCAACGACTGTGTCTGCGAAGCTGCGAAGCGCTTCGGGTACCATGTTCCATGAAACGACATAGTGATAGTTGTATAATGGTGATTAATGGTGATTAACGGTGATTAATGGTGATTAATGATAGTTAATGGGATTCACCCTCTGGTAATTTGTTACAGTTTGCTATTGAAAATGACCATTTAGAAATAGTTGATTTACCCATTTATAGAATGGTGATTTTCCAGAGTTATGTAAACGTTTACCAGAGGGTAATTGCCAGATTAGATTACCCCCTAAACCAATTGAGCAATGTCCGCATTGGACAATCTCCAAAAGCAATGGTTGGTTGGGGTTCACAGCTCGAGCATGAGAATCACCCATATATTGGGTCGTGTATAACTCCTCTATAATCATAAACCAATCGCCGTTGCTTGTCAAATATATTCTTGTATTTTGATAGTTCAAACATGTTCAAACTATAAATGATTGTTAAACCATCAAAGATGTTTGTGAAATAACCATAAATATTTCTTACCCTCTGGTAATTTAAACATAGCTATGGAAAATCACCATTTTTAATAGGTAAATCAACGAACTAAATGATATAAATGGTCATTTTTCAATAGCAAACTGTAACAAATTAACCATTTCGGGTATAGATCACCATGTTCCCACTTATTTTCCCAGTCTATCCCATTATACCACTAGTTTTGATTCAAATCACCATAAAAATGTCCCTTCGTCAAGCAGGGGAGACCACACCTTCGTCTGTGCCACCAAATCTGCGCGACCAGCGCCAACGATCACCACTTGCATCTCTGTGTCCTGGGGAATGCTTCCACTTGAAAAATATGGAGGTTTCTGTTTCGTCATGGGGGTAGCCCTAGTCATCCATGTATAGATGGGTTTTCCATGATTTTCCACTATAGACCAAGCATTTTGGGGAACCCCCATTTATGGAAAGCCTCATATGACTGTTTAAAATGCCACAATTTCGTGATGATATGTGACTTTCTAATCTGTTCAGAGCTTGGCAATTCAATGGGATATACCCTCTGGTAAACGTTTACATAACTATGGAACATCACCATGCTATCCATGGGTAAATCAACTATAAATCACCAGTTTCAATAGCAAACTGTTGGTTTGCCAGAGGGTAGTGGGGATACCCTCTGGTACTCAAACATGGCTGGAAAATCCCGGAAAAAAATGGATGTGTCTAGGAAAATCAGCTATAAATGCTTGATTTTCCAGCCATGTTTGATTACCGGATGGCATGTGATTGGTTCAAAACGCTACAAATAGATAATATGTGAGTCTTAAAACTCACATATACAGCGTATGTTCATAAATTGTCGAGTTCTGGGTTTCTCGGAAACTTGGGTAACCCATTTCATCCAGTTAATCGAATAATGATCCATTAAAACATCGATTACTTTGGCGATATCGCCATTTTCAGACACATCGGTTGTTGCAGTTCCACTCATGGCTGTGCTTTGATACCCATAGTAGCGGCCCCATATGCCAACTTATGAATCTTAAAATCCCATGGTTCTACTGCTTCTACGCTTCGATTTTTTATCCCTTTTCAATGGGTTAGTAGAACCCCAATCATTTCACATTTTTTTTACCCCCAGCAATGTTAGTAGAACTGGTGAGTCGAATTTTTTTTGATCCCTTTTCAATGGGTACCCAGTTGAGCATTTCACCATAAACCAATGGCTTTTCTGGTTGGTGGTATACTTACCCCTCTGAAAAATGAATGACGAATCGTCAGTTGGGATGATGAAATGCCCAATATATATATATATATATTAATCATCATTAACCATATATATATATATTAACCATAATAACCATATATTATATATATATATGGAAAGTCATAATCCATTCATGTATTAATAATTCACCAGCATTAACCAGAAAAAAAAAAAAAACTATATCCCCATATTAGATATAGTATATTCCCAATATGATGAGAAAGTCATAATCCATTCATGTTCCATTATTGATTATTATATCCCATTATATCCCATTATATCCCATTATATACCATAAAAAACACCATTATATTCCATTAAAAGCCATGTTCCAGTCACCACCAACCAGCATAATATCACTGCTCAACTGCTCAACTGCCGTCCTCCAGGACCTCGACCAAGGACTCCAACAGCAGGTCGTAGCCCTTCTGCGAGTCCAGGCGTCCGATGAAGCCTCCAATATTGGCGGCAGACTGGTCAGATTTAGGGCTAGTTTATGGCTATTGAATAGCTAAATAGCTATCTATATACATATATATATATATGATTATACATATATATATATATACAATTATACAATCTTAGAAGCAATGATCAAATATCGCCGAAGGTTCTTTTCAAGATTGGTGGTACAAACAATCAAAATTTGGTTTATTCTTGCTTTACTAACATTAATGCCAAAAATGTGGCTTTCTGTCCCTGTCTATTCTCGGGGTCGTTGGGAAGACCAAAGGAACACACGATACATGGTTTTCCAATTCTTATGTGCTTGGCTACTGGCAACAAGTTGACATCAACTGGTAAATGCAGTCCATTTCTTTTTTTTGGGAATCAAAAAAGGACAGCATCATTATTGCTGAGTTATACTCTGATTATTCAACATTGCTATGGAAATTTGCCACTCATAGACTCATAGATGCTTTATGATGATATACCTATCAAGAATGATGATTGTCCATAGCTAGGTTAAATAACCAGAGGGTAAACTGGCTTATAGTCTTATAGTCCCAGTATGTCCTCATTATGTCCCATCATTGGTGGTAGAATCCAATTAAAAAACACACCTATATATATATATTTCCTACAATGTGGGGCCCGCAGTCGATAGCGTTCAGTTGCCTTCTTTCAGTGGCTGAATTCTATGGTTTATGGTAGTTATAACTATATATAATATTTATGGGGTTTATATACCAACTTGTAACTGGGGGGGGGCACATGGTATTCTCCAACCTGACACAAAAGTCCCAAATGGGGATGCGTCGCTGATCCTCTGGGTCTCCACATCCACTGGGATATGTTTAATATCAACAATATGGAGAAGGATGGTTTACTGACAATGATGGGATGTTGATAAGTGGAAATATATGGTTGATTTTTTTTAGATCTTAAACATCTTGTTCATAATTTTATGGGATGTCAATCATTGATGCAGAAGGAATTGAGAAGGATGGGGCAAAATTTATGGGATATCAATGATTCTTGGATGTTACAGGGGTTGGTAACTGTCCCATTTTGGGAATATTGGACATCACCTTATAGTAGCCATTATAGACCATATAACTAATGGTTGGGTGATGTTCAATTGGGACATTTAATGACCCATGTGTTACTTGCCCGTAATTTAAGGTGCGGATTCCCCAACGGTAACCCAACGGCGCGATTCTCGGTGTTCACAACGGCTATTTCGCCGTGGAATCAGTGGATCCCCCGGATGTGTGTTTTTGGGTGACACAAAAACCATGGCTCCCATGGGTTTATGCTTAAATATCACAAAAACACATGTCAATGGGGGATGTTAATGGTAAATGTTTATGTTTTAAATATCACAATGGGTTTATGCTTAAATATGTCAATGTCTTTGCTGGGTTCACAAAAACAATTCTTCCAAGTTCCCATTCTTCGAAGTGAAATCCACTGGGGGATGGGGAAATACGCCGCCCAGCACGATTCGAATCCAAGCCACACATCAATGGTCCAGTGCATCCGCTGAGGCCGTTCTGTGCGCGATAGGAGGCCTTCAACTCGCTCTTGGCGATGTCGCCTTGGGTACCGGTTGCGGTTGGGGGTCGCAGTGTCACAGTGTCACCATGGAGATTGCCTCATTGTAAGGGACCCAGACGTGAACACATCCAATCCGGCATCAAGGTTTCTTGGTGGGGGTATATATTATTTGTGATAGGGGGTATGGGATTGTAGAAAAATGTGAGCAACTAATATGCTAACATCAATTTCAAGCGTTCTCACCCAACAGTCAGCTGGTGTCATAATTCCAGACCTCTTCAGTATTTTCTGGGTTTCTCTGCTCGAGAATCCTTGCTGTTATCCCATTACACTTGTTGGTTAAGAACGGGGGTTCCATAGTGGCTTATATCTGTGACAATCCTAAATATCTTGGGCGGTTTTTCCCATCTATCATTTCAACCTCCGATTACCAAACTGTACAGAAACCCTGGTTCATTGTGGGTTCCCAAACCGGGATCATTTGCTGCGATTACATGGTACCCCCCAATGACCAACCGCCCGTTCTTACGCATTCATCGCCAAGGTCACAAGTGGTAGAGTTGTAAGGACCGCAGCTCATCATGGTCTTGGTCACGAAGTTCCTTGGCTTCGTTTTTGAACATGTTTACACCATAAAACAACATTCATAGGAAATATACAAAGTGGTGCCCCATAGATAGCTAAGTTGGTTTATAACTCCAATAACTGGGACTTATGGTAGATATATCTCTGGTTGATGGGGTTATAAACCAACTTATAACTGGGGGGGTACCACATTGTAGGAAATATGATGATCAAAATCGAATCCAATGGTTGCATTTGTATTACCTGTATTGGCCTCTGGTTATTTAACACAGCTATGATGGGCCATTTATGGACGATTTATATTGTTTTAACATGTTTTAACTATGAAAAATGGTGGTTTTCCATAGCGGTCTTGAAGAAAACCCTCCCTGCTTGGTGTTTTTTTCCACCCACGTTTGGCTGGTTTTCCTCAAGTCGGAGGATTCGGAGGATGCAAAAATGAAGTCGCTGGAGACCAGATACAAATTACCCTCTGGTAAACTAACATAACTATGGAAAAATCCATTATAAATGGAGGTTTGATTGGGAAAATCATCTGTAAATGGTCCATTTTCCATAGCTACGTTAAATTACCAGAGGGTACTCTCCAAGAAGACATGGCAATGTGAAATTCCCGCAATTTTTATGGGAATTTGAATGGGACAATCATCGATGGAGAACTTCCAGCAAGCCATGTTTGATGACACCGGAGGGTATGCTGACAGGAAATCGATGTTCATAGAGATCTAATCCATATTAATCTCATCCCCCCCAAAAAAAAACTGATTATCAACACCCCCAAAATCTATCCCTTTCGGCCCTTAGTCTATGGTCCAAAAATGTCCCCCTTAAATCGGTGAAAAATCCCCTACAATGTGGCCACCCCCCCAGTGATGTGAACGTTGGTTTAGATTCGCCCCAGTAACTATAGTTATAAGTACCATATAAACCATAGTGAAATTGGAGTTATAAACCAACTTAGCTATCGAACGGGGCCCCACTTTGTACTGATTCATGATTTCTCCGGGGACAAGTGGACATCAAGCGGCTTATCACTCGGCGACACACCTTCCTTGACGCCGTTCAAGATGCCTGGCGCGGAAAACTGCAGCTGAAAACTGCTCGGAATGTGTTGAGGCGAACATCATCCCAGTCTTAGGTCTTCATCAAGAGCAAACGTCAGGATTTAATCAAGGAACAATATGAACTTTACGATTGTGACTTATGATTTATGATTGTTGGTCACTAAAAAAATGGATGTATTTACATATATATATATGGATTTATGATATAAGTCAGGTGGATATAGCCTAGTTTCATGAGGAAAACTCTAAACCAACAACCGTCTCCAAGGCGATGGGATTCGTCTCCGATGAACCCAGTGATTTTTTTGGGAAAATGGCCCAGTTAGTGATGATTTACATTGATTTACCAGCTATTTTGGGGTTCACTAAGTACCAGGGTTTATATTGATTTACATAGATTTACATAGATTTACATAGATTTACCTATTAAAAATTGTTTCTTCATCAAAAGACATATGGGGTTATAGATGATTTACATTGATTTGGCTATGGACCAATACCTATAAAAATACCATTTGTTAGTGGGATGAACATCCATTTTAACCCAGCTATGACTTGGGGTGAACAAAAGGTACCAGGGTTTTGACCCATCCCCATTTACATAGATTTACCTATTAAAAATTCTGTTTTGTTACCCTCGAACACAACAACTACATGCTACAGTTCTTAATCCAGGTCCCCTTTGGGCCAGTCATTTGCTTCAAAAGTTATGGTTTTTTGGCCGTAAAACTGAAGTTGGCTCGTCCTGGTGGGCACGCTGTGCCTGTGCACTTGCCCAAGGTAAACAGGGACTCCAACTCCACGCCTCAGGTGATCTAACAGAGCCACCGAAAAATGACCATGGCCATACCCTCTGGTAAACGTTTACATCACTATGGAACATCCACCATTTTTAATGGGAAATCAATTATAAATTGCCATGTTCAATAGCAAACTGTTAAATTACCAGAGGGTAATAGGTAAATCAACGAACCAAATGGGACGTTTTTGTTGCGTAGAGATCAACAGCAGAGTGAACGATGTGTTTCATCGAGTCCACAGAGCAGAACATATTCCTGTCACGGCGTTGCCATTGCATCAGAAACATCCGTTGTCTTCAACGACCATAACTTCTACATGCTTTGGACTTATCGGGTAAGATGTATGGGTTTCTTTGAAAATAGAATATATATATATATATATCATATATATATATATCCCAAATCCAGTAGTTTATCATCATTTTCCTCGTCGTAAGATCATTTTATGGGATATTTTGAAGGTATACGTATTCTCCAGCCCGGAATCTGGAAAACGAAGCCTTTTTGGTTGTACTTTTTCCATGCCCACCCAGCATCCACCTCTGGCATATCCCCAAGATATATCCCTATTATATCTATATCCCCATACTGTAATCATGAGTTTAACCGAGCTTTTTTTGGTGGTAAAACCCCGAAAAACATATCCCCAAAATCCCAACAAAAACCCCAATAAATAGTGTATAATTATACACCTTACATCATGTAGGTCAAAAACACCCCAAATCAGCTCAAATCCAGTATTTTATCATACTTTATCATAGTTTGTCATCATCTTCCTAAAAAGAACTATGATAGTATAATACTTTATCATATACTTTATTATACTATACTACAAAAACTATGATAAACTTTATCATCTTCCAACAAAAACTATCCTGGTTGGCATTCTTTAGCCATTTTTGGAACTTCCGCTCCTGGTCTTCAACCAAGCCACCCTTCTCCGGATCCGTGCAGCACTCCACCGCATAGGACGGCGACACGGTCAAGGCCCGGTCGCAGTAGCGCAAGCCGGCCGCCATGGTGTTCACGCAGGTGATCTGAAGCTGGCGTTGATCAACAAAAAATGGGAGTTAGTTTGATTTCACAAACAAATGTATATCTATGTATATTATAATATATATATATATATGTATAATATTACATCATCACTAACCAAATAACTCTGGTGAGAATTATCATTGCGAACCAAACAAACAGATGTGACAATTAAAAATAGGGGTTTCAGCAACGAAAATTTGGATGTTGCCAGCCAAGAACGGGAAGATTGACCGATGACAAATGGATACTTCGGTATATCAACCATTATTGAGCAACGAAATTACGACATTAGCCACTGCACATATGGGGATGTCAAGCAACAAAATGGTGATTTCTGCCAACGGAAATGGTGAGGTATATCATTGAAACCGATGAGTTTATTGACCTAGATTGAAGTTACTGAACGTAAAATAAATCTGGGTAAATTATAATATTTCACTAACCTGAATTAAGGCCATATTGGGATGATTTCCCTTACTAACCATCATTCCCAGTGAGGGAGAACAGTGAGGTCGTGATCAAATTTACCCAGATAAATGGATGAACCATGATGAACCATGATGAACCTGGGAGTTTTCAACTAACCAAAAGCTATGAGACATATGCCATGATCATCCATGATCTGGGCAAGGTGGGACACAGGAGCGCCAGAGGCACTTTCATGATTGGGATCCTAATTTGACTTCTTGAACTTTCCCTCCTTTAGGTCAGTTTTTTGAGTCTACCGCGATGAAAAACAACGATGCTTGAGATAGATTTCTTCGCTTTACGGTGATCTACCAATGATATGCTCAATTTGCGAAAAAACCTCCGGCCATTTCCACACAATGTGGTACCCCCCCAGTTATAAGTTGGTTTATAACCCCATCAACCAGAGATATATCTACCATAAGTCCTAGTTATTGGAGTTATAAACCAACTTAGCTATCTATGGGGCACCACTTTGCATGAAACAATCCGACGGGCTCTCAGGATGCCTTCTCATTGTACTTGCCGATGCGCAGAGGCATCCTGGGCTGCTACGGTCGACCCCATTCTTGACTTGCTTAGCTCCCATTCATATCCCAGCCACAGTAACTGGAATTCCTGATTCGTGGTGGATATATATATATATACATATATATATACATTGTATGTATATATATATATATATATATTATGCACTGTATCTATCTATCTATCTTTCTATCTATCGATCGATCGATCTATCTATCTATAGGAATATATATATATATGATTATATATATATATACACATGATAATATATATATATTATAGAGTAGAGAGAGAGATTCGAGTTATGCATTTGGGTAAAACTTAAGTGCCTCCCTTCGCTCAAACTTCGCCCAAGTGTCTTGAAGGTGATGCTGTCAATGTACCGCTCCGGCACGCCGAAGATGCCAGCCAGACCTTCCTGGCCCATTGAACAATGGCCGGGGCTCCAACAAGTCATGGGGATACACCACCTGTGTATATATATATATATATTAACATATATATATATATTAACATATATATATATTAACATATATATATATATTAACATATATATATATTAACATATATATATAGTAACATATATATATATATTAACATATATATATATATTAACATATATATATATATTAACATATATATATATATTAACATATATATATATATTAACATATATATATATTAATATATATATATATCAGTGAAAAGGCATATTCTAAAATCTATCGATATACAATGATATGTATATAATTATGTATATAATTATGATATAACCAGCAGATAAGTAGTATAGAATGGTATATGCATCATCAATAATGTTGGTTTCATAGAATGAGGAAACTCCAAGTTATCATCCAAGGTGAACCGGTCATTAACGTAATTTGGAAAACCAACGATGATAGGGGTATGCCAACTACAATGTGGGGCCCCCCAGTGATGTGAACGTTGGTTTATAAACCCCAGTAAATATAGTTATTTGCGTACCATAAACCATAGTTATTGGAGTTATAAACCAACTTAGCTATCTAGGGGGCCCCACTTTGTAGTTGGTGGTATACCCACCCCTCTGAAAAATGATGGAGTTCGTCAGTTGGGATGATGAAATTCCCAATATATGGCAAGTCATAATCCATTCATGTTCCAAACTTACATACCATGCAATCTGGTTGGTGGTTTCAACATGTTTCAACCCCATTTTTCCATTTTTCCATTTTTCCATTGGTGGTTTCAACCCCAAACCACCAATCAGCCAATTTTGGGAAAGACACCAGTTCTGGATCTCTAAATGAAAACGAGCTACCGTTCACTTCACCGACGTTTCCCTGCGGTTCTTCCGACGGCTTAGCAGAATTGATTTGATAATAACTGGTTGGTGGTTTCAACCCCTCTGAAAAATATTAGTCAATGGGGAGGATTATCCCATATATCCTGGAAAATAAAAAATGATTGAAACCACCAACCAGATAAAGTTGGAATGTTCATCTGAGTCCAGTTTGGGTGTGTAAGATTTGTGTCTATCCCCAAATGTCATCTGATTTCTGAAGAGTGATAATAATAATTGTCCTTTTGAAAGTGCCCATGTTATGGGTATGGTGTACCCCCTTTTCCTACACACCCAAATGAAGAAAATCCCATGTTTTCCCGGTATTTTAGTTGTTCTACATATGGATTTCTAATGATTTCTATATGTTCTTGAAGTTACAGTAAATTCCCAAGTTTGTTTTAGCTTCGTCATATCCCCACATATTCCAACCTGGCTGCCAAGCCCGCGAGCTCCGCAGCCGGGCCCTCCGGGCCCTCCGGGCCGCTCCTCGCGCTGGAAACGGCCCTGGAACACGGCGTTGTGGCACAGGAAGGCGGTCTTGGTGTTCTGCCATTTGCCTGGCGGAAGGCCAAAGCTGGAGGAAATTGGAACTCGGAAATTGGTTGATTATGAGAGGCTACTGAAGAGTGAGGTGACAACTATTGTATACTATTGTAACCTCTAGATGCAGAAAGAATCCAGGAGCTTCATGGTGCTCGGACTTCATAAGAGTCTTGGAATCCAGACATCAGCAACCACGACCTAGTTGAGAGCGTCCATTCAGAAGAAGGGACAGTGGAAGAAGCAAAGCAGAACAGCCAAGTCTGTATTTGTCGGTAGTACCGTAGCCGCCAAAATAGATCGACATGGACCTGGCTCCTGTTTCAGCCGAATTGCCCCCTTTCAAAAATCTTCAAAAGTTCAGTGACAATGGTAGGATATGGAGGTTTCTTGAAATAGGGGTACCCTTGTCATCATCCATGTTCATGGTATTTTCCATGAAAGATTCACCATCCAGCGTGCTATTGGGGTACCCCCATGACTTCGGAAACCCCCATATGGATGGATAGTGTCAACATCCCATGGCTCTCACGAACTCGCGCCTGTGGTGGTCTTCTCTGCATGGATCAGCATGGGCACCAGGGCGCTGTGCCAGTCGTTGCAGACCACCATGCAGTCGCTGCCATAGATGGCACCACCCAGGGACAGCTCCTGGTGGGAGGTAAGATACCACCAAGAAATTGGCGTTGAAGATGGTCTCGCCATATTTTCAGGTATAGTCTATAATAGTCTGTACATGACGATATATATATATATATATAGGGTGGGGCCCCATAGTTAGCTAAGTTGGTTTATAACTATAATAACAATAGTGTATGATACGCAACTGGGGGGGCCCATCCTGTATATATACACACACACACGATTGGGATGCCAGGACTGCCCCACCAGCCCAAGGCACCAGGTAATCATTGCTTGAGTTTGGGCTGTAATAAGGAGATAGGGATTGGATGATTGGCAAACATGAAGAAAAATTGGTGCACGTCTTACCCTCTGGTAAACGTTTACATAACTATGGGAAATCACCATTTTCAATGGGTAAATCCACTATAAATGGCCATGTTCAATAGCAAACTGTTAAATTACCAGAGGGTAGACTGACCCATGATAATCATGATACTGGGCCGCTTGGGTCCTTGATCTTCCGACACTTGCCATGTTTCATTAGTCTTGCAAGGTGGTGCAAGCCCTCAGTGATGTTTGTTGGTTTATACCCTCTGGTAAACATGCAAAAAGCTATTGAACATGGCCATTTACAATGGATTCACCCATTAAAAATTGTGATGTTCCATAGTTATGTTAGTTTACCAGAGGGTAACCCCCATGTTCACTAGTTCGATCTATCCACCACCCAACAGTGAAGCAACTCATAGACTTGGCGAACGACCCGGGGCACGACCTTGTCATCCCCCATTCGTATTGGTGGAGATGGCGGCGGTGATCCCGAACTTTGAGAAATCAATTCTCAATATGGGTTTGTCATGGTTTGCCATGGTTTGTCTGAGGGGACCAGTGGTTCATCATTTGTCCTCTTGGCATTATGCACATTCATGCACATGTCACATTCCCCATGTTTGGACATGCCCAAATTGAAGGAAAATCCAACCTTTTTTCCCGGCCAACTCACAATTTGTCCAAGTGAAATCCCTTGTTTTGTGGCTATATATGATAGCCCTCTGGTTATTTAACAATTTGCCGTGGAAAATGGACCGTGAATTTATATGAATTTATGATGATTTACTTATGAAAAAAAATGTTTTAGCATGATTTAGCATGAGTTAGCATGAGTTAGCATGATTTAGCATGATTTAGCATGATTTAGCTATGTCCTCAAATATCCCAAGAACTTTTCTGGGAACCCCTCAACCCCCTCCGGGCACTCTCCGGGCCGCCCGGCGCTCCTGGATGGCCTTTAAAGCAGCCTTGCAAAAGTAGGCGAAACGCGCCTGGGAAAAGCTGGTCACGGGTCACGGGTCACGGGTCACGCCCCGACCTGAATTCACCATTTCTTGGTGCTTGGTTTTTGAATGTTTTTGACCCATGCTCACATGAAATCACATGAATGTGTGTGATTGTGAGTGTCTGTGAGCATGTTGAACATTGTTCAACAAGCGGCCTGGTTGTCAGCGAAATCCTTGCCCCACTCGGGACCGTAAAGCTTAGAGCCAGTCTGACCGTTCACACGCTCGAGGAAGGTGGGGTGATCCACAAAGACATAGTCCACCTTCTGCTTGTAGGTGTGGAAGAAGTGCACGGATTCCTGCTTGCCACCCATGGTCACAGAGCCCCAGTAGCCAGTGTCCCAGGCCTCCGCATACTGGTCGTAACGAGGGGAAATGACCATGCAGCGATGGCCCATAGCCGCCAATGCAATTGGCAGACCATCCATAGCCTCTCCCAGACCACCAGTCTTGGAGAAAGGTGCCACCTCACCTGTGACAAAGACCAGCTGGTACTTCTTGGTGATGGTGGTCACTGGCTTGCCATTCACCATAGACATGGCTGGGCGGCCAGCTGCCATAGCGCGGCCCATGGCAACAGCAGGGGGGCCGGCCTTTGGGACTTCTCCTGAAACAGCCCCAGCAGCGGCCTTGGCATACGCCCGAGCAGGGCCGACCGTGCTGGTGGCATAGGCAGAGGTTCCAACTTGGCTTGCTGGCACTGGCTTTCCACTCACCATGTTCAGGACGGCGGTGGGAGCAGATCCCATAGTGTCCGTGGGCAATGGTCTGCTGGGAATGGCTGACATCTTGGCCTTTGCCTTTGGCTTTGCCTGGGGCTCGGCTTTGGCACCAACACCCTTGGCAAGGGCGGAGCCAGTGCCTGCCAGACGCTCAGCTGCAGTGACTGGTTTCTTGCCTTCCTCCACCACAGCAGCCGCAGACATTGGGGGCACCGGTGCAGACTTGGCTTTGGGTGCTGCACCAGCACTGGCTGGGCCAGTGCTTGCAGGGACGGCGCTTGCCGGGCTCAGAGTGTTGACACCCTGTCCACCGGACCCGGTCAATGTCGCTGCCTTGCTGGTTGGGGCAGCAGGCGCAGTTGCTCCTCCCTGAGTAGTGGCAGCCGTCTTCTTCTGCTCCTCAACCTTCGGTGCCTCATCACGAGACTTTGCTGCGGCAGACACTTCAGCTGGCTTTGCCACTGGCACGACACTTGGTGCCTGAGCAGGGGTGGTTGCTTGAGGGGCAGACATTGTTTCAGTCTAGTCCTCTGGGGCCGTCACTAGATGAAAATTTGAGAGACACTGGCAGCGGCAAATGACGATAGAAAACATGTCAAAGAGCATCTTAGCAGAGATATGCAGAGATACTGTACTTGGAAATGGAAAGCCGTCTTGGCATGGAATGACCTCATGCAAAAATGACATCAGCCGAACACGAATGAAATGCCCCTGCTGCCTAGCTGTTTCTTCTCAGAGCTTTGATGTGCGCTTCCTTCAACTTGTAAAATCTCCCATGTTCCACGTGTGTCTTGGTTCGTCATGAACGGAGACACAAGCAAATCATTCAATTCACTATAAGATCTATAAATTCATTGCGGAACTGAGACCATATGAAGTCGGTCATACGTGGAAGCTTGAGGAGGCATGATTGCGGTACATTAAGTGATTCGCAGATTCTGCGATCAGTAGGACAAACAGCTTGCTGTTCCAGGGCATGGCTTGCAGGTTCTGACCATGCCGCAGTGGAACACAACGGATTCGGGTTTCGGTGCACTTCTGTGTGCGTTCCAGTTTCTGGAAGCGCGGGCACCAAGTTGCAAGGCTCTTTGCGCCAAGCGTCAAACAGATCCTCTCAAAAGTGAGTCGGTGTTTTTCAAATGTTGGTTTGAAAGGAAAATCCCTGGCCCCCCGAGGGGAACGTCCAGCCCTGGTTGGTTTATTTTTCAGCAGGTTTGTTGAACCCCCATAGCGAAACGGGGGGGCGCCTGGATTTTCCCTCCAACCAAAAGTCAAATACAAAGGACAACATTCCAACATATCTTTGGAACCGCAAGAAGCTGAAAGCATGTTGTAAATGATTTCATCATCTCTGCATACGGGTATGACATTTTCTCACGTGCAAGAAATCGGATGAAATCAGAAGAAAATTGCGTTCTTTCTTCACAAAAATTTCTAAGGATTCACGTAAAGGAAAATCAACAAAAGCTTAGTGTCATCTCAGTCTGCAGGTTGCCTCCCGGGTGGGCAACCGCAAGCGTTGAATGTCGATGACAGGTCGATGTCTAAGACCATCTTGTGATGATTCCAGCCATCATTCCAGAGAGGGAGAACAGTGAGGTCATGATCGAATTCATCCTTTTAGAGGGAAATATCAAATGGAGTTACTCCCTTTTTTCCTCCAAAATTCAACAATTTTTCTACTGAAACACCTATGCCCAATTGGGGATACCGGTGGGTTTTTTTCATCGTTACCAGTGCCCTCACGGTCGACGGCTCTGATGTAAAACCAGGCAATTTTAGTTTGTGGTGTACAGTGTAGAGTCTACCACTTGGGGGTAAGTGGGTGAAATTAAAAAACATGGGGGGGATAAACGTCTATTTCACCAGAGTTTTATATGTTTTTTGTTTGGATTTTGACCCATAGCCGGCCATGACTTTCCAACCCGGCCATCGAACAAATTTTGTTCGGAGCTCGGCTCTTCCCAAAAGAGAATCCATCACCATCAACTAGCTGAAGCGCTTCAAAACCCAAAATGGTGTCTCCTATTGCTGGTTGGTCAAGTGGCCGAATCTCCCAATTAATGGAGTGTGACAATATATTGGATAGTATAACCCCATATAAAATCGTCAACAGGGGTTTTGAACACTGCCCGCATAGTTTGAATGCCATTCCCTTTTTTAGGGTGTCCAATGTCTACGCATAGCACCTGGATTTTTTCGCCGCAAACACACAACCAACATGGAATGGTTTAATGTACCATCTGGTTATTTAACATAGCCATGGAAAATCACCATTTTTAATAGGTAAACCATCTATAAATGGGCCATGTTCCATGGCTATGTTAAATAACCAGAGGGTAGTTTCTCCAGATCCAGATCCATGTTCACTCATAACCATCTGGTTGGATTCCCATCAAAGCAACATTTTTGGGAACACCCTTGCATCAATAATGTCAACCCTGGATTAATAAACCCCATTTACGGCTGTTTAATTGGGGGGATACCATAAATAAGTATTATATGAAATGACTATTGGAGGAGTACCCCCCAATACACATGAATCTAATCTATGAAGTCGGTTTGTCTGAAAATGGGGTACCTCCAATGAAAAAACGAAATATCATCATGCACCCATTCAAATTGCCATTTGTGAGGGGTACCCCATTTTCAGACACGCCGAAATAACTTCAAACCATCTACTTGGAAGTGCAGTTCCAGTTGTAAGTGGAGCTTATATCCCAACTTATTGGAGTTTACAAGCATGGTTATAGCTATAATGTGGGTAAATCCCAATGCCATAAATGTAAACCATCCCCCAAATCATCACCATTTTTATAGGTGGTATGTTTACCATTCCCAGTCATGGGTGGTGTATGACATTGTTTTACCCACATTAAAAGGAATCGTTTTTGGCCAACCCCAAGTAGAACACAGCCAGGGCCTGGGTCAAAGCCGTCTCAGCAGACCTGCTTGTCCGTTTCCAACGTCACCGTTTCCACCCGACCTGAGCTCATGGCCCCTGCTGGCGAAGTTGCTTGAACTAGGTAAAACATGGTAAAACTAGGATTTATGATGCATATGTATCGTATACGTATGTATAGTTGGATGAATTTACAAACCGACATATACATTGGCGGGTTTGACTCTGTGTTTGAATATCATTAACTGGCTGAACTTGCCCATCAAGGTATCCTTTGGTCGCTAGAGGTTGCAAGAACTATCAAGAACCATTGTACGAACCATGTGGGAATACCCGAATACTGATTACGAACCATTAAGAACCATTAAGAACCATTAAGAACCATTAAGAACCATTAAGAACCATTAAGAACCATTAAGAACTGATTAACCCTCTGGTAATCCAACGTGACACTTGTTCTAACCTCACCTCGATGATTTTAGTTCTGGGATTTCCAAGCTTAGCGCTTGCCATGTTTGAGCAACGTAGGATGGGTCATCGGTATTAACCATGACTCATGGTGGGTTAATGATGGTTACTGATGGGTTAATGATGGTTAATGATGGTTTAATATGGGTTAATATGGTTTAATGATGGGTTAATATGGTTTGATGGTTAATGAGGGGTTCATATCTATTCTCAGAGCCACATCCCTTGCCCATCGGTACCCCAATCATTCAACCCATTCCATCGTGTTTTTCTGCACACCAAGGGGCCCGCACGTCACTGCAAATATAATCGTAAATAACAAATCCAAGCATAACTGAAGTGAATTAACAAAAAATATTGGAACACGAGATAACAGGATTACTTTTTTAATATACATATATAATATAAAAATTCACCAACTTTTTCAGAAATGATCCGTCTTTTTGGGAGAGTTACCCTCCAAATTCGTTCAAGCCCAGTGATCCAACCACTAACACAATCCTCCTATCGCCCAAGGACTTGGATCAACTTGGTTTTTTCATATACCCAACTAATTATAGGATGTTTATATCTTAACATGTCTATAGTTGGGTATATGAAAAGCAACTGTAAATTAACTGTTAATATACCCAACATAATTAAAAACCAACTAATTAACTGTTAATATACCAAATTTGTTTATAGTTTATACATTGTAACAGGCTATATATAAGACAACCAACCACTTCAGCACTCCTCCAAGTAGCCGTTCAACACGTCCTTCACGCCCACCTCCTTGAAAACTGCCTCGTATTGCAGCGCCGCATTGCTCCAGGTATACTCCGCAGCTGCCGCCATAGCGGCCTGTTTCATCTTCACCACCTGCAACGTCACCATCAAAAGAACCATCGAAAATCAAGTAACGACGATAAAATGCGACAATGTCCTGAATGTGGAAAGTGGAAAAATGTCCCAAATATGGAATTTAGATGAATTTAGAACAAGAAAATCAAGCTGTAAATCGGAGACTTTCCATCACCAACACTGGCAAGATCGCCGGCAACCAAGGGATTCGGAATGGCAATCTGTACACTGTACACCCCTGAAACTACAGGAATTGGCAGGAGTCTAGTTAAAAAAACACAGGAAAATCCAAGACATGTTTCGTGATTGTTTGTTTCTTAATAAGTTTATATAGTTCATAGTTATAGCGAGTTGGTGATTTCAGCAAATATTTTCCGGATTCGCGTTGGGATTTGGGAAGCTATCCCCAAATACTCGGCCAATGAATCCCATGAATTTGAATATGCCAAGCTCAAAAACGGTGGCCATGGATAGTCACTATAATCATAGCATGCCCAGTGACATCACAGTGGGGCTATCAATTTGTTGGGCTCCGGGCAGTCTATTGGTGCATCCTATCTGCTTGGTTAAATCTCTTGGGAGAGCTTTAGAAACTATGAAACTATGTTGCCATCATTTTGGGGTACTCAATCCTATAGTCATCTATAATATGTCACCTTTAAAATTAGTTTACCAAGAATTGCAAAAAGAAATCTACATACTCTGTACGTTGGTGGAGAGTCTCACATTAAACAGCCATTGAAATGCAGAAGATGTCACAGCGGCCACACAGCTATCTCAATTATATTAATATGATTTGGAGAGTTGAATGGTTCTTATGTGAAAGATTCTTCACCAAGTTCAAGGTTCATCATGGTTCATCTATACATATATATATATGTATATATATGTATATATATATATATCCCTCTCGACCCGAATTGGCCTCTGGCAATTGAATCCGGCATAGCCGAAAATACCCCATGAATATTGACAAACCACCAACTAGATGAAAATTATGAAGCCCTGGTGATCCCTGGTGAAACTCCTTGTGTTCGTAGGTTGGTAAAAATCATGTTTTTGCTCCCATTTTACAAGCCATACACGCCGCCATACATGCCACTTACTGGGGAAAAAAATGATGATGAGCTATCGATTTGAGAAAACCCCTAAATTTAAAAACACATGTCATAATCTAAAAATCTAATGCTATTGTCATCCCATCATTATCCCATACCCTATCGCTCCAAAGAGTTTCTCAGACTGTACTTGGGGCTGTTTCTTGGGTTCCAAATACCTTCTGAAACAATAACTTGGAGCACTATGGTATCATCCCATTTCATGATCTACAAAATCCA